AAGAGCGAAGGGCCCATACTGCACACCGTCGCTAGGGCCCACAATAGACCATCTGAAAACACGAAATCACCCCTTCGTCAGATTTCTAGCAAATCCCACGACACCATTGTCTGAAAATGTTTTTTTTTTTCTTAAAATGAAAAATTTGTAGGCCAATTGAAAAAAAAAATGTACCCACCTGTACTTGGTGGTGAGATGATGAATCAAAATAGATATCTCGAGCTTGGCTAACTCATTCCCCGGACATGAGTGGGTCCCATTGCCAAATGGCATGAAAGCATTGGGTTTTGTTGCCACCTGCACAACCAGGATTGAGTATCATTGATAAACTTTCATAAGTAAATTTATCTATCTATTTATTTTCCTACAGGATAAAATTTATTACCTTGAATCTCGACGGATCGAATTTTTCAGGATCGGGAAAGATTTGGGAGTTGTGGTGGATATTTCTGAACAAGGGCAAGACTTTCCATCCTTTGGGAATCAAATACCCTGAAAAATTTTAAACTCCTTTTCATTAGAATCGGTCGAATAAACAGATTATTTTATGCAATATATATGAACATATATACATATATATATAAGCACATGTATACATACGTACCTTCGTACTCGACATCTTCAACAGCTTCTCTAAAGGTGAAAGATAAGATGGAAGCGACTCGCAACGTCTCTTGGATAACCGCAGAAGTTATGGGCATTTTCTTGGTATCTTCCCAAGCCAGACCCGATTTCCCTTCTTTGCCCTCTGTGATCGCCATTTGCTCTTCCTGAATTTCCGATACTACCATCAGAACTCCACCGTATTTACCGGAATGCCACTCCCACTCATCTCCCAGAAAAAATAATAATAAAGGGCTGGTATCCGTACGGTGCGTATGAGTTTGGTACTTACGGTGACAGCTTCTAGAACGGTGGGGTTCTCGGCCAGGTACTTGAGGATCCACGTCAGCACGCTCGCCGTCGTGTCTCTTGCGGCGAAGATAACTCCGATGATGTTGTCGGCGATCTGTTCGTCAGTGAGCCCCTCTTTGTCTCCCATGAACGATCCGAGGAGGTCTTTGCTCTGTACGGCGCCGTTTTGTCTCCTCTCCGACAGGATCCGAGCGAGTATCTGAGCGAGCTCCTTCCGGGCTTTCATGGCTTTGTGGAACAGCGTCCCCGGGAGATTCACCGGCATCGAATTGTACCCCTTCTCGAGAATGTAGTAGCACCGTTTCAGGTCTTCCCTGTACAGTACCTCGTCCTTCCCGAAAATGGAGAGCAGGGCAACGTTGAATGTGTACTGATGAGACAGAGAGAGAGAGGGAACAGTTAGTAAGGGACAGCAACAGAAATTGTCTGAAGAAAAAACAGAGCAGAGGAGAGAGAGAGAGAGAGAGAGAGAGAGCAGAGAAACTCTGGTTTTCTGCAATTGTGTAAAGGGAGGGACTTACTGTCTTCATTTCTTGGTAGGTGTTGATCATTGTTCCGTCCCAAGAATTGAGAGCGTCCTGAGCGATGGATTCGATGTTGGAGATCATGTACTTGATCGATTCGGGCATGAAAGCTCGGAGAACAAGCTTCCGGAGCTTGGCATGGTAATCTCCTTGGTGGAAGAAGATGGCTTGCTTCCCCAACATCCTCTCCTTACTCGCCGGAAAAGTGGGTTTGAACAGATGTGCCTTCGTCACCAGCACGAATTTCGCCGCTTCCGGGCTCGAGATCATCACACATGGACATCCCAATATATGGGACTTGAATATCGATCCGTACCTGTAATAAAGGAAGAACCTTTTTCCGTATCAGCACAACATAATTCCGACGGGAAAAAGGTCGAATTAAAAGGGCGCGAATTCAGTTCGCGGTTGTTTTTTTCAGACAGACCTCCTCTGTTTAGTGGCGAAGAACACATTGGGGTCTTGGGAATAGAGCTGGAAAGTCTCGCCGACGTAAGGCCAACCCATTGTCCCCGGAGGGAGGGGGAGCGTCGGGGATTGGCGGTGGTGGCGGCGGCGGCGGCGGTCCACGGCGGAGGAAGAGCACCGGAAAAGGCAGAGGAAGAGAACCGCCGCGAAGATGGGGAAAAACAAAACGGAGAAATCCATTGTTCCACTGTGAATTTTATAATTCGCAATTTGGGTGTCTACTTTGATCAAAACCCAACTCTTCTTGAGCAGTGGGAAGTAGCTGAGCAACGAAGAACTTGTGGGATTTTTTTTTTTTTTTTGGGATGCTCTGTAATGGAAGAGCTTGTGATTGCGAGGAACAAGTGGGGGGATTGAGGGGGTTTTATAGGCTTTTCTCGCAAAGTGGGCAGAGAGAGAAAGAGGCTTCAAGTACACCTTCCTATGCACAACCTCTGGTCCAGCTCATGTAGAGAGAGAGAGGAGAGAGAGGAGAGCACGTGTCAAGGGCGACCATGCAAAAAGAGCGTGTGAGATTTTGACCAAAACTAGAGAGCTCCTAATTCACAACAAAGAAAAAGTTTAATTAATTAATTATGATTAAAAAACAAACTCACCTTAAATTTGCCATAATAGTGACAAAAGATGCATCATATTAATAAAAACTTGTTGATTCACACAAGAAAAAGGGCAAACGGCCCTTAAGCAAGGACAAAGGGGAAGTGGGTGTGTTAATTACTTTAATTATGCCCTCCAATATTAAGCTAGCAAGTCATACGAAATACCCTTTAATTAATTTTTGGATATATTACCCTTATCCATTTAATCTTTGCCATAAATAAAATTAAGCGTCAGAAGCTAAATGTCCGTATCAACATCAACTAACATTCCGACAAATTTTCACAGAAAGTAAACAACAGAGTGAATGATTCAAAGAGGCACTTAGTGTTATTTTTTGGGAGGAAAAAACATATTCCCAAAAAATAAAAATAGACAGAAATACAAACCATATAAACACTCACATTTGTATGTTTATATTTATAAAATACAAATATAATTTGGTTGTTCTTTGTCAAAAAAATATATAATTTGGATGTACAGCAAAGGACTATATATCCCTTTTGACTTATTTATCTTAAATCAATATTTTATCCCACGTCCTCTTGCATACAACAAAGCATTATTATTATTTTTTATCATAATATTATATATATATCTCCAATGAAATAATCAACACGTAAGGAAATTGGATTTAACCAGACCATTAAAAACAGTTTGACTTAATATTTCTAATCCTAGGCATACGTATATATTAATCACATTAATAAGATTCGACATTTTAGTAGTTTGTCGAACTGCTTTAATATCCATTGACTTCGTGCCGGGGAGAAATTAATTAAGGAGCTAAATCATTTTCAAACTCGGAAAAAGTCTAACCATTTGAAATAATATATATATTTCTTGTATTAGAATTCATGGAAACGTGCATATCTAATTACATATATAGACGTATACATAATAATCATATATGCAGCTTTTGGAGAGAGAAAAAACTGTGCAAATTCTCTATTATTATTATTATTACATTGTTCACGACAAATTAAACGTTTTTAGACAAATGAATAATAACAAAAACTCGCGATGAAATATCTAAGTTTTATATATTATAATGTATTACCCATGTAATTTATTGCCAAAATAATTAATAAATATCTGAAAAATAATCCGAGTACGAAAATATAAATATAAAAAATGAGATGCATACGGGGAAAATTTAAATCAAATATTTCATGTACGCATGCGTAAATTAATCCATGGTAGTCGCCAACTCTATTTCGTCGTGGATAGGAAAATGGTGAAAAAAATTTGTGGATAATTTTTTTTTTGGTGACACTTGCCTTATCACGGTTCCGTTGTTGTTCCCATTGTAGATAAAATATTGGACCTAATAAGCTAAGTACAAATAAAAATAAAAAATAACATGAAAATTAAGTATAGAACCATAGAGGAACGGTTCAAAATTAAATGTTACGCGGTCGAATTAATGGGCATTGTTACGCGTTAGAGGACCTCGTCGTTGCTCCTCGCAGTATTGGGAGGATGAATTCTCTAATCACCCCAGCAAACGACTACTGAATTATACACAACTAATTCTATATCATTTAATGAAAATGTATATATCATAACATGACGTGCCATCATTCATGCTTATGTTTTGCTATAAATGATTATTCAGAAGTAACATTTGCGTTGATACATTTCATATATAATAAATTTGAAATTCTTTTTGGGACAGAATTTGGAGTCAGTATTGAAATCGAGATTGAATTCCGATCGATTAAGGTTTTCGCGATTGATGTGGGAAGTGACACGATGAATCTCGTACGATAGTACAAAAAGAAAATATCGAAACTGTATGAGATCGGTAAAAGCTCAATCATTAGGGCATATGCTATGAAAATATCTCAAACGAAGATTTTTTTTTTTTATTTTTTTGCTAATATCTTGACATTGAAGAGCATATTTTTTAAGTAATTTTCCGAGAAGATTTACGCTTTACATGAATATTTTTTATTGAAATCAACGACTATTTAGGTAATTAAGATTATATATATCTCCTTAATATTTTGACAATTAGTTTTATATTAGTGACAATGTCTATTTTTTATAAAGAAAGTTTAGTCCACATTAAACATTAAATTTTCAATTTTGTAAGAGATGTTACATTTACAACCTTGTTTATATTTATATAAAACTTATTAACCCAAATAGAGACGTTAAAACGATCATCATCATGCATGCACTTGCGTGTGGATACGACGATGATTAGAAATCTACGTAACTTAATAATACTATATTATATATATGGGGATAAACAAAAATATCTATATAAGTTGATCGTTATTCGACGGTCGATATTCCATGTACGTCTCTATTTGTGTGCCTGACAGAATATTACTTTATACGGATTTACTTCGCAATTTCCCAATGAAGATATTTGAAAATTTTGTAAATAAATAATATATATAGATATATATATATATATCTAATATCTTCTGAATTAATAATTACCAGAAAAAGGAAATGGGGGAGGAGTAGGCGACAAAGGTGGCATGGGCGGCCTAGAAAATAAGGGCACCAACAATAAAACAAAATTATATTTGCCCTAACAGACACAAGTTATGTCCCAATTGGGTACGTATAGAATAAATAAATATGTACGTAGCGAAAGAGTTTTTAATGCCACATTTTTCGTATTAATTTCACATGACAACACAACATAAAGGACTTTATTGTGGCCGTTCCATATGCGGACAGCCTTTGTACATAATATGTACGCACGCACATAAGAAACCATACTTTTTTTTTCTTCTTGTTATATTTTTTTATATATTATCATCAGCATGACATTTTATTATAAAAGATAATGTAGATTATATATATATATATAGGGAGGCTCGATTGTTATAAAAAAGCTGAGTTTATTTTTATTTCAATCGAAGAATCGGTTTCTCGTAAAGTAACCGTAAACCAATAATCGGTTTGGTCCGCTCCGGATTATTATTTTTATTTAATTGTTCAATTGGAAAAAAAAAACCATGGTAAGTTGTTTGAAGATTATGTAAAATAATATTTACAGCGCTTTGGATCGAGCTAGAGCCACCAAATGCTACTAAAGCAAAACACAATTTGGTATCGATTTGGATTTAATCGATTAAGGAATCGTCTCGAATAGATTTTGCATTCAGTTAATTTTTTCTCGATCCAATATATAAATCTATTTCTTAACATATAATATCGTTTTATATGTTATAAAAGCACGTGTACAAAATGGGCAGAGGAGAATTCGAATACTATAATATGAGGCGTTTGAAACGTAAAATCAAATGGTATACATTTCGCATCAAACGCTGTTAAATATTTCAATCATAATATCGTTATGCAGTTCGATTGGTCAAATATAATTTTTCTCTGATTTTTTTTTTCAATTTTTACGTGAGCAATGTAATGAAGTCGGATTCAACTCATGTTTTCACTGAAATAATATCGAAATTTAGTACACTAGAATTCTAGATTTATAAGAGATATTGTGGGTAAAAAACCATGAGACCGATCGTGTTTTGTTTTTATAATTATGTCCTTTGCTAGACAATTGTAGTTTTTATATATAAATATATATAAACGTGTGTATGTGTGTGTTTTCATAGATATGGATGTAATACAACGAGTAAGTAAAATAAATAGAGGACTAATTAAAGACTTGCAGCGGGACAATTGGCATCGTGGGGTATGATTGCATGTGGACGTTACCTCACACGCGTCCACCACTCTGTCTACACACATCTTTTAGGGTTTCCGTATTCGATAGTGATACTTCTGTTTCCTTTTTTTTGGTTACACAATTAAAACATTTGAATATATATAATGCACAAATGTCCATGTTTGTACATCAATACGTGTATTTAGAAAGATAATTTTGTATTATGATATTTTTTACCTTATTTAAATATAATTTAAATCTTTTTGCCCGTATTTTAGGATAATTAATACGTATTTAAGAACCCATATTTTTTTTTGTCAAACCAGGAAGTTCACCTGGACCGAACCTACATCTCTCTGGATCCGGGAGCAGCCTTTGAACACACAGTCTTTGGCTATGCCTCTCCCTTCCCGCATGCCCTGGATTCGAATCCCTGACCTGGAGGAGGAACACCCTCACTTCCAGTCCAGGTACCACTCGACCACATACGTGTGGGTAAGAACCCATATTCATGAAAGCAAATATACTTCGGCCATTTGTTGTCTGGTTCATGGACTACTTTAACCTTTTTCGCTTTTGTGTCGTTCGACTATGATTTGCGACAATAAAAAATAGTATAGTTCTTACTAAACATATGAGAATATCATAATTCACACCCTTTTTTTTTACGGGGCATAAAATGTTAATTATTAAAAGTGTTGGAAAATTTTAAATAATAATATCGATCACATCAAAGATCGTAATTCGTATATTATAATTTAACATAAAAAATGAGTTTCTCGTCAGAGGAAGGATATGTTTTAAAGACCCGTGTCGGGACCCAATGTGCAAGAGAGGTTATAACACAAATCTTTTGTAAATTTGACGGGCGAAGTGAGACGTCTGAATCCATTACTCCCACTATATGTCGATATTCCCACGTAATTAATTAAAATATATCTACTTATATTTTTTTTATCACTAATTACGATGATTTTACAATTTAGCTTCTTTTTTTTTTTGCAATTATCTATGCTGCTGTTATTTATATGATTGATGATCTAGATAATTAAGTGGGATCGTTAAAACTCAACCATAGACA